TCTATCTTTGACCTCAATGAAAGGGTTTCCCATTCTCCTGCCTCTGCCCCTAGGGCTACTCATTACTCACATGAGCAAACCCTCTGCTCCCATCTTACCCCTGCTCTGATCTCAGGCCTTCAGACTCAGACTAAATTACACCACCTGCATTCCTGTTTCTCCAGCTAGCAGAAGACAGACCCACCGTGGGACTTCCCTCCTTCCACCATCATGGGATCCGATTCCCATAAGAGATTCCCCCTCTTATGATCTCAGTATATTATCTTACTGGTTGCTCCTCGGGAGAGCCCTGTATAATAAAGCCCCAGTTTGACGATGAGTCCTTGTAGACAGAAACCATGGCTTTGTAAATAGAACAGGAACCGTGCTGCATAGAGAACTGCAAGAACAGCACTCTAGAACCAATTTGCATTATTGGATTGTGCAAGACTATGTGTTCTGATACTCTACGACAGTATTTGGCCAAATCAAATTTTAATTTTCTTCTCATAAGAAGTCTGGGGAGAGGCAGTTGGTACAGCAGCTCCATGATGTACTTAACATATCAGGCTCCTTTTATTTACCCACTCACCCATCCCTTAGCAGATGGATTTGGACATCAGGCTTGCTACCTCACAGACTCAAGATGGCTGCTTGGTCTTATATCCACAGTCTAGACCAAAATAAAGAAGGAGGAGAGGGACAGGGAGCTCCTGTGTTTGTAAAGCAAAACCTTCCTAGTTATCCCAAGTAGACTCCTATTTGCTTCTTATGGCCACCTGGAGCTGCCAGGAATCCACCTGTGGGGATTTTAATACCCTCTGGCTTCTCTGCATCCCTGTCTCCCTCCTAATAGCATCTTTCGGGGTTTCCTTCTGAGGGTGGCCTCTCTTCCACTATGTGAGTCTTAGTAGGTGAGGAAATTCAAAGGAGTCGGCAACACCTTCCTCAGGACAGCCAGGGGAGTGTGTACTAATGTGGTCAATCAGAGGGCCTCTCCCAGGACTGTCTAATGACTGAGAGATCATAAGAATGTCTAAGATCTGATCGGTACCCTGCAGTGACATCCCAACTGGACCATTTCTACTAAGAGCTCCTTCCTCAGGTTCTTGCTTTCTAGCTTTTCACGGCTCTTTCTAAGCCCTGATCTCCAATCTTCCTGTGCGTTCTGGGGTCCAATCCTACCAATAAAGCCTCTTCTATGGGGTGAGCAGAGACTGTGTTTGTTGATGATATCAAACAGATGAACAAAACCCTAACAGTCCATCCCCATCACCGGCTTGCTGTGTGAGACCCTGAGAAAATCCTCTAACCTCTTTGGGTAACAATCTCTTCATCATAAAATGATGGCTTATTCTTTAAGTGTGACCGTTCTGAACAATTTTAAAATTCTGATCACTTACAGAAAGCCCTTTTGTATCAAATAGGCTCTAATGAACATCAAGATCTGCATTCAGGTTTTAGAGGCAAGGGTGGGATGTAAAAGCTCCATTAGGAAAGACAACGGAAGCACTGGGGTGCAGCTGCTGGAGCATTCCTTAGACAATTAAGCCTAGGTAGACACCAATCAGAATCCACTGAGCGCCAGAATGCAATGTTTTCATTAGCAAAGAGTATTCTGGCCATAATTTCCAGGGTCCACTTAAACTGCTATGATTTCAACTGTTCTTGGATCTAAGACCTCTTAATTACTCCATTGTAAAAGGTGTTTTTAGGGGGCATTTGTTTTCCATCTGAATGCCTCTTTTGCAGCAAAACTTCAGCATAAAGGGAAGAGACCTCTGTAAACTCAGTCCACACCTTCAAGGAAAAAAAAATGTTTTCTTAGAACAGCAAAGTGGCCCCAGTTTGGCCTTATGTTCTAGCAAAAGCTCATTGCTTAGCTGCATTTAATAATCCATGAAACATTTCTATCAACTTTAGTGTGTATGAATTGTGTGACTGCAATATGGGTAAAATAAAATTTAAAAAAAAGTGAGAGAGAAGCAGGAATACAAAATATGCAGAAAATGAAAATAAGTGAGATCTTAAATATTTGATCAAGGCCTTCCCTTTTCAGGTAGCCAGTTACCATCTTGGGCTCTCGAATGCCTACAAAAGCCACGGAACACCATTCTGAATTATTCAAATGACAAGGGGAAACTTTTTTCTTTTTACTACTTTTAAAAAAGCCTGTAGCCTTTCAAGCTAACCTTTACTTAAATATTTAACACAGACACGGGGTCAAATAGAAAATAGCAAAATTTCTCAGTCAAATACTCAACCTGTAATTATGAATCGGTTTAGATAATGCAGTCCAGCCAAACTCCCTTTGGCCTTTTTCTGTGTTCTAACAATTCTTTCCGGAGTGAGGAATCCAGCCTAGCTTACTTGAAAGCTTGCATCCTAGAATGCTTTTAATCTACGTATTCAATGATTTTTTTTTTATTCATTCAATTCTGTTCTTTCACTTGTTTTTTTTTTTTTCATTCATTCGACAAATATTTTTTGAATACCCACCAGGAGCCCGGCACTCATCTGGATGTGGAGATACATCCAGAAATAAAATATATGATAAAGACTCAGCTCCTGGGGCTGGGGATGTGGCTCAAGCGGTAGCGCGCTCACCTGGCATGCGTGCGGCCTGGGTTCGATTCTCAGCACCACATACAAACAAAGATGTTGTGTCTGCCGAAAACTAAAAAATAAATAAATAAATACTAAAATTCTCTCTCTTTCTCTCCCTCTCTCTCTCACTCTCTCTTTAAAAAAAGACTCAGCTCCTTTGGACCTTACGCTTAAGTGAGGGAGACAGACAATAAATAAAAATATACTCTAATAACAAATAAGAAGTACTCTGAAAGGGGTGGTGTGTGGGAGTGCGTCTGGTTTTTGGCAGGTGGAGTTTCAGAAGGCTGATGAACTGGGCAAGCTGTCTTGAGACTAAGGGGATGTGTCCTGTCAGTGAGTGACAACAGCAACACAGCTATGGGGTACAAGTATGCCCAGGGCATCTGTTATGGCTTGGAGATGAGGTGTCCTCCCAGAGCTCCTACTTGCACGTGACTATTTGTCTTGAGACCTGCTTCTGGGGGACTCGATCTCACCCATCTTCTACATAAAGTCCTTCTCCTTTCTCAGAGCCATCACCTAGGCACCTTCCTTAAGCTATAATGGCAAATAGGATCCAGGAGAAATTAAACTTACTAATAAGGGAGAGGACCAAAAATTCTAACCCCATCATACCCAGGATCCAGTTGCTGCCTGTGATTGTAAGCAAAGAACATTGCTCACATGTAGGTATTTTCCCTTCTGAATGTTAGGAGTCAGGGGTCTCCAGAATGGATTTCTCAGCCACTGCCTCTTTCTCACCCAGGTTAGGTAAAGTTTGGCTGTTACATGAGGTTCCTATCTCCTATAATAAGTGGTCACTATTTCTTGCCCAGGAAGCCAGTCTCCTTCTAGAGCAAGCCTTGATCTTCACTAGCCCAGGAAAGAAAGCTTTGATTCATGGGGTCTAATTGCCCAGTCTTTCCCTCCCTGGCCTAGGGTCCTGACTCATAATGACCTGGCCTCTGATTTTAATCTGAGAGCTCCTACCAATCCATCATGCCACAGGCTACACAGAGATGCTTAGAAATCCCCAAGCTCTCATAGCGCTCCTGCCATGCTGGGACATAAACTGACTTAATAAAGAAGAACCAAAGATCATTATTCTTGTATACTTAGATGTTAAGCTACTTAATTCTCCCCCAAAGCTAGTTGGGGGGAGAATTCAATTACAGTGAAGGAAACTGAGGCTTGGAAAGGTAAAGCGACTTGCCCCAGTTCATCAGATGGGAGAGAGGGATCCACAAGGCATGGACCTCGCATTTTCAGCCTGAGTGGGAAGCACCCTTCCTCTGGGTACTTACTGGGTGGTAGCTGGGTGCTCCCTGTGCTTGGAGGTCACTGTTCCTGCCCAACTAACCTCATGAGAACACTCTGAGGATCTGTTGACAAGAGAGTCAGGACCTACATGAGCTTCCAGAAGCACTCCCCATCCTCAGGTGAGGGCCTGGCATTGTAGTTAGGAATACAAACCTTGACATCATCCTTGATGTTTTTTTTGAATAGTCCAATTCACTCCTTTAGGAAATCCGATTGGCAGAAACTGGTGAGTCTTGACCTTCCAGACCCTCGCAGCAAGTCCCTTGTGAGTGTCAGGAGTTTTAGAGGGTTTGGGGGTGGGGAGCAGAGAGGCCAGACTGCATTAGGGAAGCAAATTAGAGACCCATATTACCTAAGAAGATCTGAGAGGCTTAGGACCTGAATCTCCCAGGCCCTAGGCTTTTGAGGTCAATTCTTTTTTAAATTCTAAATAAATTTTCCCTTGCTGGTCCTAGCTCTGTATTTTTTTTTCCCTAAAACTGCCCTTCTCCATCCCCCACAATTGTGTAAGCTCAGGCCCCAGAAAACCTTCATGCACTCCTGGTTTGAGGTTTCAGCCCTCAGAGGGCAGGGCTGGAGAACAGAGGTGTAAATTTGTCAGGAGAAGGAAGCAGGGGCGCAGTAAGAGAGTAAATTCTCATCTAACATGGCAGAAAGTCAATAGATAAATCAAGAAATCGCTATGTAAGCTTATTTTTTTTTTAAGCGACAAGGGGTGACCACCAGAAGAACTAAACGAAGGAAATGATAAAAAGGGTTGTGGGTGAGAAGCAAGGGCGAGAGGCCTGTTGCTTCCATTAGAAGCACATTACAGGCAATCATTTTATTTTGTAAAAAGTGCTCATGCATACTTTGATATACTTTGTAATTCAGCCCTAAAAAAAAAAAAAAAAGAAAGTAAAGTGAAAATGAGAAAGAAATGGAATACAAAATATAAGAAAATAAAAAGCAAACTCAGGCTGGGATTCAGGGCAGGAGCGCGGGGGCGGGTGGGGGTGGTGGGCGTGGCTTGGGTAAGGGGCGGGGCGGGTGGGCCCTTGTCCCCTAGGTCCCACCCTCGGGGAGGGAGCCTGCGGCCCAGCGGCTGCGTTCACACTCCGCCCACAGCGGGGAGTTGCGGGAGCGCAAGGTCAAGTGCGCGTAGACCCCGCCCCCCAGCTTGGGGGCGGGGAGGGCTCGCCCGGGACAGTTGGTCCCAGCCCCGGGACAGTACGGGCCCCGAGGCGGCCCTGCGTCGGGACACCAGGAGCGATCCCTGCTGCCCTGTCCTCCAGCGCGGGCCCAAGTTCAGCCCGACAGATCCCCAGTCCCCGTCGCTGCGGGTGCCACTGCGGAGCCTCGCGACTCGCAGGTAAGAAGAGCCAGGGGCCCTGGCCCGCCCGCCTGCCTGTGCCAGTGTGGGCACACGCAAGGACCTGGATCCCGGAGAGACACCTGGGCCCACGTGACTCCCGGTGGCGGCGGAGACTTGGGCGCCAGGTGGCGGCGGAGCTGCGGATTCCTGTAGCCCAGCACAGTTCCGCCCCTGCTTCCCAAACTGCCGGTTCTCGCTGCGTCCACCTGCGCCCCCACCCCACTCCGTTACCCGTTGGACTCCAACCTCAGCAGGCAGACCACCTTCTGCACGCGTGCACGCAACAGTGTAAAATAATGTCCACTCATCTTCCTCGTGTGCTGCTCAGTGCTCACCTGCCACTGGGCCAAGTACTGGGGTCACAGTGATGGGCTTGGGCTGGCAAATGTGGTGCACACCGCGTGAAGGGCCGTGCAGGGGAACGACCTACACAAATAGATAATCCACACACACAGGTGTAAAAGAGCTAGGAAGGAGAACTCCAGGGTGCTGGAGAACGTTTATCAGGGCCCCAACTGCAGAGGCTGCTGGAAGCCAAACTTTCATGGGAATCAGAGTTCCAGGGTGGAAAATTATGGAGCAGGCTTGTTGGGAGAGAGTGTGACTTGTTTGAGGAAGGGGAGTCAGAGGGACTGGCCTGCAGAGAGCTTGACTTCCTCCTGTGTAAATGGGACTGTTCCTACTTACTGAAAATGAAAGCCCTGTGTGTAGATGAAGGTGCCCTTCCAGGGGAGCAGTCAGGGGAGCAAAGTGGAGGTGTTCTGTGGGGACTCTGGGTGGCCTCTAGGGCTGCAACTCAGCAAACTCCCTTCTTCCCCTCTCCTGAGGACGCTCTCCTCTGTCAAGTGAGGGATTCCAGTAGAATCTCTTAGATGAGGTCTGGTTTAGCCATTCATTCTTTAAACATATAACTGGTGTCCACCTTCCCTTGCTCTGAGGATTCTGAGAAATCAGACAGAGGCGCTGCCCACAAAGTGACAGTTCCAGCCTGATCAAACCCAGAGTAAGGGGTCCAACACTCTGACAGTGCCCCAGGTGGGACCTGGGTCCGACCCCAGGTCCCACCTGGGGCACTGCCAGTTGTATGACTCCCGAGACTTGGGGCTCACGCTTTACCATCAGGTGTCAGTTGCTTCATGACTTTCACTGGTGACTCTTAGCTCTTGGGGTCACCATCTACACCTGGTCAGAAGACTCCCCAGGAAAAGCAACTCTGCTGGTCCCTTGCTGAGGACCCTCAGACTTTGAGACCCCCATGAATTTGGGAGTCCCCTTTGGGCTTCAGGATTCACCTGTTAGTCACTTGGTGTGTTTTATGGGCTTGAATAATCCCAGGGTCTCCTATGGGTCTGTTGGTATAGAGGTAGGATTTGCTCCATGGAAGCTGACTGGGAGGCCCAGGGAGGGGGGACACAGTCCAGGGAGGAACCTGGCACCATTTGTGGGGAGTGACCAAAACCACAGGATAGATGTTAACAAAAAGGTGTTGGAGGGAGAGGGAGAGATGGCAGCCCTGGTGCAGCCCCTCTGTTTTCTCTCAAAGACCACAGCTCCTGTTAAAGAGAGAAGGGAAGCTCAAGTCTTGGTGGTCACAGACCTGGCAACTCTGTCCCTGACCCTGGGCAGTCACTTATCTCCTGAAGTATGAGGACAGTGGGAGCTAAACAGGTGCTTGGCGTATCATTGTCCCTGAAGAAACATTAACTCTTGCCCTCTCCTTCCCCTGCATGAACTAAAATAGGAGTTAATAACAGCGCCTACCTTAGTGCGTTATCCTGGAGATTGTCTGGATACCTAAAATACACTGAACCTGCTGACTTGTGGAGGATACTACTCTGCTGCAGCTATTGTTATGCCTTGTTCTGGGCAAACATCCTGGGTGGAACTAAGCAGCAGGTGGGTTGGGGGCAGGGCAGGGACTTAGGGGACTGGGCAGGGTGATTAGAGGGGTAGTTGGATTATCTTGTGTAGTAGTGGTTTCCCCAGAAGCACAGGCCTCCATGTGAGAGGGATGTTCTGCATGATAAAGGGCCTGGGGGAAGCTTCTGTCAAACCACAGTGGTCCAGCCTATGAAGACTCAGGCCAGAAAAATAGCACAAGGTGTTGGTGGTTGGGGAGAGAATAAGATTGGAAGACATCTAAATGGTCTTTTTCAATGTTGCCTTTAACACATGGCCCTATACAGGTGCCCTTCAGGGGGCTACCTGCCTTTGCCCTGCTGACCTCCACCAACCAAATGGGTATGGGAATTGTCTGGGGCTGTCTGGCTCTCTGTGAAGACCAATTTTATAACCTCTGCACCTGGAAGAGTATCATGTCTAAAATGCATGAATAAAAGAATGAATAAAAGAAAATAAGCCCAGAGACAAATTTTTTTGCTGTATACACATGGTGTGTTTTTTAAAATGGAATCTGTAGCCCAAGAAACATAACTATTGTTTGTTGTTGCTGTTGTTTTGCTGAGGGCCAAGCATGTTCATGCATGTGGCAGCTTCGTGATGAACATGAAGGTTTGTGGTCAGATGATGTCACTGCTGTCACCTCCCATGCATCACAGAAGTTCACCAAACCTAAGCTTTTGCATCTGTAAAATGGGATTCTTTGTACCTAACTCAGCATTATGCAAGTTAACTACATGAAGCTCTGACCTCAGTGCCCACAGGCAGTATGGCAAGCCCTGAGTCTATAATAGCTGGTGTTATTTTTTATTATATTTATTATTTCCCTCATAATCACCAATATAAAGAGGAACCACAGACCCAGGTGTGTGGCACTAATTCTGGACTCAGAATCATGTGGTAGCAAAGGTACTTTGCAAACACTAACCAGACAGTTTGTATGAAATGTAGTGAATTCTTGTGTGTTTCATTCATTACTTAAAGCACTTGACTGTGAGATCTTAAAAGGAAAAAAAAAAACTGGAAAATTATAATTTATATGACTTTCAAGTTCAGGTATTTTATCATCTAGATAAATCTTCCAGGCATCTATGTTAAACCACTTTGAGCTGTCGAAGCTCTTAAATAAAGTGGCTTGTTCTGACCAGTGTCTGTCTGTGATTGTTTATCATAGTTCCCTGGTAACGATGGACAGATCCCAATTTGCAGGGCAGGCCTCAGGACAGCAGCTCCTGCCCATTTTTTTTAGCCTTGCAGTTCCACACGACGGTGTTGAACAAACCACACTGGACTCACAATTCCCTCGTCACTGTCTCTGTCACATGCACATAACCCACGTGCCAGTTTAGAAATTAAAATAGCAAAGGATTCTTTGTGTGTGTGTTGGTGCGTGCATGCATGCTGAGGGTGGAACCCAGGGCTTCATGCAAGTGCTCCAGCAATGAGCTACATCCCCAACCTCAGAAGAGCGAGGCAACAGTTGCTAGTGTGAATCTGGAAATCAGCTCTGGAGTTGATGGGTTTGTGAGTGAGAGTGCTTTGCATGAGGGTGATAGCATCTTCTGCAAGCCTGAGCTGTCTGCTCTCGCTTCACAGGGGTTCTCTCTCTTCCCTGACCCCTTGCCCAGGGGAGGCCTGACATCTTCCTGTTCCCTACTGCCTCTGCCTCTGGCCAGAGCTGCCCCTCCGCCCATAGTCCCTGGGCAGCTGCAGCCTGTGGCAGGAAAGCCTTCCTAGGTCGGCTCCTCTGCCTTCCCAGGTAACTGTGGGCACCTCTGCTGCATGCCCCTCTCCAGCTGCCTGAATCCTCTTCTGCAGAGCTGGGAGCACTTCCACAGCTATCCAGGGGTCCTGCACCTGGTGTTGTGCCTGGCCCATCATCAGATCTCTCCTCCTTCCTTTCTTCCTTCTTTTCTACAAATGTTTCAGGCAGTGTCCTGGGGATTTGAATAAGCCGTAAAGACGACACAATCCTGACCCTCGTGATGAAGCCCACACACATCATGAGATGGATTTAATGAAAACAGAATTAAGTACATAAATATCCACAGTGACCCATCATAAACCGGGTCAGCTGCTGTGAAGGAGGGACCCCTGGTGCCACGACTATGTGTGGAAGTGGGACAGAGACAGTCAGTGTGGACTGCTGAGAGCCATAGCCCAGTCGGAATGACGCATGGCATTTTTGCCAGAACAAAGTGGTTGAGAGGTGACACCAGCAAGCCATTGAGATGATAATGGTTATGTTAAGCTGTGTATTCAATTGTATATTAGACCCCTGCTGACCGCCTAGGCCTGCTACTTTGGAGTTCTCTAAGGGATTCCTGGAGAGTTCCCATTGGTTGGGAAAGTGCGGGAGGAGGGATTTCCGGAGGAGGGATTTCCAGGTGGTGTGTGGTGTGTCCTCAGAGAAGGCCAGTGCGTGGCATTAGTGGGAGTGCGGAGAATAAAGGAGTTCCTGTTTTGAACCTACAAGGCTGTGTGGCGGCTCGGTTATTTTGTGCCCAGCCAGACTGCCGCAGTGGACATAGGTTCAGCAAGCCCGTAGGTGTCCATTGGAAGGTCATATTCATTTATTCACATGCCTTTAAAGACTGTTGTGTGTATTTTCTATAAATTCTGGTAAACAGTGTTTTGTGCTGTGGGTAATCCTACTGAGAATGTGTATTTTTTCCTTGTAATTACTTTTTATTTATATATGACAGTGGAATGCATTACAATTCTTATTACATGTATAGAGCACAATCTTTCATATGTCTGGTTGTATACAAAGTATATTCACACCAATTCATGTCTTCATACCTGTACTTCGGATAATAATGTCCATCACATTCCACCATCATTTCTAACCCCCTGCCTCCTCCCTTTCTAGAGTCCTCTGCCCTATCTAGACTTCTTCTATTCCTCCCATGCTCCCCCTTCCTGCCCCACTATGATTCAGCCTCCTTATATCAGAGAAAATATTCAGCATTTGGTTTTTTGGGATTGGCTAATTTCACTTGGCATTATCTTCTCTAACGCCATCCATTTACCTGCAAATGCCATGATTTTATTCTCTTTTCTTGATGAGTAAAATTCCATTGTGTATATATGCCACA